TGAGGAATATCTATAGTGTTTTGCATCCCTGCTGTGGCATTTTATATTTCTGCCAACACTGTACAGGGGTTCTTAATTTTTCACAACCTCACCAACACATATTTTTTTTAATAATAGCTATCCTAAGGGTACCTGAGTAGGTCAGTCAGCTAAGTATCAGGTCATGATCTCACCATTATGAGACTGAGCCCTGCCTTGGGTTCTGTGCTGAGCATGGAGCCTGCTTAAGATTCTCTCACTCCCTCACCATCTGCCCTTCTCCATTCATGCTTGTGTGCACTCTGTCTCTCTCTTTAAAAATGAATGAATGAATGAATAAATAAATAAATAAATAAATAAATAAATAAATAAATAATAGCTATCCTAACAGGTATGAGGTGACATTTCATTGTAGTTTTGATTTGTATTTCTATGATAATTAATGATTGAGCAATTTTCATGTTCATGTTGGCTTATGTATATATCATCTTTGGAAAAAGTTCAAATCCTTTGCCCATTTTTTAAATAGATTGCTTGTGTTTTTCTTGGTACTGAGTTGTAGGAGCTACTTATATATTTTGGGAATTAGTCCACTATCAGATATATGGTCTGCAAATATTTTCTGCCATTCTGTACGTTGCCTTTTCATTCTTTGGATTGTTTCCTTTGCCATGCAAAAAATTTTAGTGTGATATCTCTTTGTCTCTTGTCTCTTTTTGCCTTTGTTGCCTGTGCTTTTGGTGTCCTATTTAGGAGACTCTGAGAGGTGTTGGATAAGTCTATTACCTTTATTGTGGTGACAGTAACATGTGTATTTACATATATCCAAATTCATCAAATTGTAAACATTAAGTATGTGAAGTTCTTTGTGTATAAATTATACTTCACTAAAACTGCTTAAAAGTAAATACGCACACATTTCTCTCTTATATGTGTTAGTCAAGAGTGATATAAGGAATAGGGAGTAACCTAGATAAATACAGAAAAGGTAAGAACATAAAAGAAATCAACAGCATCAATCACATTAAATGCTCATACAGAGAAGGTCTAACAGAAGAAGAATTCAAATTCATCGATCATATACAAGTCCCAGGAAGAACTGAGTATCGAGAATTAACCCATTGTGTCCTAGGACATGAAGCTTTTGGATAACCCTATTGTGACAGACCTGCTCAACAAAATCTGTGTTCTTCTTTTAATGTTTTTTTGTTTTTTTTTTTTTTTTTATTTCTAGGAGAGAGAGAGAGAGAGAGAGAGAGAGGCAGCGTGAGCAGGGGAGGGTCAGAGAGAGAGGGAGTCACAGACTCTGAAAGAGGCTCCAGGCTCTGAGCTGGCAGTCAGCACAGAGCCCGATGCGGGGCTCGAACCCACGAACCGTGAGATCATGACCCAAGCGAAAGTCGGACGCTCAACCGACTAAGCCACACAGGAGCCCCAAATCTGTGTTCTTCTTACTGGATGTTCAGGAAGACTACATTTCTACACTCTTACTTGCAGTTTGGTTTGGCCTCAAACTGAGCACTCAGTGAAAGTGAGGTACATCATTTTCAAGTGTGGTCTCCAAATACCTCCACAACTCTCCCTGCATATACTATTTTCCTTTCTTGTTGCTTGCAGTGAAGCCATCTCTTAGAGGAACCTTGGAAAACATTTGGTGAAAATAGCAGAAACTTCTAAATAACTGTGTGGAAGAAGGCTCCATGCCAACTTGTTTACCTAGTGACTATTAGTAAACGAGCAAGAAATGAACTTCTACTGGGTTTGAAATATAAATTTGTGAGTCCATGTATTGCAGCAGTGGATATTACCATATTATAGTTATTAATTACAATGATAGAGTAATGGGATATAATGAAAGTTATAGTATATTAAAGTAACATATCAGATATCCATTTTTGTGGGCCTCCACCCAAAGAGGAGGCATGGAGAGAGGATTTGAAAGTGAGAAAGGGATAGAAAGAAAGCAGGGACTGTATCTCTGGATTGTTTTTAAGTCAGATCTTCAACTTTGACATTGATTCTCAGGCAGGCTGCAAGTGGTTAGATGCTCTTTGAAAGCCAGATTAAGCCTCTTGTGAGATTCACAGGAAGCAGACTCACACACACATTAAAGATCAGGATGTTTATTGGAACATGCCTTCAGAATCAAGAGAGAACAGAGGAAGCAGTTCTGAGCTGGGGAGAGATTTGTCTATGATGCAGTCTCAGTAAGAGCTCAGTTAATCCCAGAGAGAGCTCTAAAGCTGGGATGACCTTTGAGAGTTTCCCAAAGTGGAATGAGGAAGTGGGGCTTTTATATTGGCAAAATAACCAGTCATTAGATTCTAGTGTCAGGGCAGCTCTCTTTGGCCAAGGGAGATCTCCAGAGAGGACAGAGAGCTGAAGGCTGTGCTGTTAGTCCAGCAATAATCCTGGCTGCTTGGGCAATACATTCTTCAGACATTAGAAAGCCCTCTTATCTTAAGTGATCAGGGCCCACAATTAATTGTTTAATTGAAACAACATCGATAAAAGAGAGAACTTGTATTAAAATACATACCATAGTTGAATATTTTATTTTAATTTAACATATAAATTCACATTTATTCATCACACTTTAAATATAAAGCCAAAGCTTTTCTTTAAATGCAAGTCCCTAGGGTGGTATTCGGGAAACTCTTGCTTACATAATACTCATTAATGGATGAGATACAATTTATTGCTTTAGTTTCTTTTGAATAAAATTAAGAATTTAAAATATAGTAATCTGAATATAAAATATCACTAAATCTCTTACTACTTTTTTCTACTTATATTTCATTAGTTTTTAATGATACTCCTATAAATTATATACATAAAAATAAACAGAAAACTAATATCAGTTTGGGGGTGAAATATGACTGATTTTTGGAAAGCATAGGGTTTAAATCAGAGGTGAAGTTTTGAAAAGATACCTACCAGCTGCAGATGTTTGAGCAATATATCACCAAGTCTCTATTTTAGTGCATTAGAAACAGTCATTTCGGGACTGGTTAAGTGAGATGCCAAGGCGGGTCTTGCTATGCAGATTTTTTCAGCTTTATTAAGGTATTATTGACAAATAAAAATTGTATACATTTAAGTTGTACAACATGATGTTTTGAATGTACATATACATTGTGTAATGATTACCACAGTTAAGCTAGTGAACATATTCATCACCTCTTATAGTTATAATTTTCTTTGTGATAAAAACACTTGAGATCTACTCTCCTAGCAAATTCAAGTGTATAATACATTATTATTAACTATAGTCATGCTGTATATTGGGTGCCCAGAACTCATTCATCATCTAGCCACAGGTTTTTAGCCTCTGAATAACATCTTACTATTTCTTCCAACTCTTCAGACCCTGTAACCAGTACTCCACCCTGTTACTTTGAGTTCAATTATTTTTGAAGTCCATTTTAAAGTGAGATCATGTAGTATTTGTCTTTCTGTGCCTGACTTTATACACTTAACATAGTGTCTTCCAGGTGCATTCATGTTGTCACAAATGGCAGAATATCCTTTTTTTAAATTTTTAATGTTTATATATTTTTGAGAGAGAGAAAGAAAGAAAGAAAGAGAAAGAGAGAGAGAGAGAAAGAAAGAAAGAAAGAAAGAACGAACGAACAAGCAGGGGAGGGGCAGAGACGGAGGGAGACACAGAATCCAAAACAGGTTCCAGACTCTGAGCTGTCAGCACATAGCCCAATCCAACTCAGGAGCTGTGAGATCATGACCTGAGCTGAAGTTGGACACTTAATCGACTGAGCCACCCAGCCACTCCTGGATTTCCATTTTTTTAAAGCCAGATAATATTTCATTATATATGTATATCATATTTTATATATCTGTTGATGTGCACTTAAGTGGTTCTGTATCTTGGCCGCTGAGAATAATGCTGTAATGAACTCAGAGTACAGATACCAGTCTGACATAGTGACTTTATTTTCTTTAGCTGTATACTCATAGGTGAGATTTCTGGATCGTATGACACATTTTTAACTTTATGAGGAAACTCCATACTGTTTTCTATAATTGCCATTCCAGTTTACATTCCCACCAATAGCATACAAGTTCTTCCTTTTCTCTACTTCCTTGTCAACACTTAACTTAGACTTTTGGCAATAGTCATACTATTAGTATGAGGTAATATCTCACTGTAGTATCCCACTGTAGTGTTGATGTATGCTTCTCTTGTGAATAGTGATGTTGAGCATCTTTTACGCACATGTTGTCTATTTATGCATCTTTGTTATAAAAATATTCAGGTCCTTTTCTTTTATTTAAATTGACTTATTTGGATTTTTTTTGCTGTTTAGTTGTATGAGTTCTTTATGTATTTTGGATATTAATCTCTTATGAGACATATGTTTTGAAAATACTATCTCCCATTCCATAAGCTGTCTTTTCATTTTGTTCACTGTTTGGTTACGCAAAAACTTTTAAGTTTCATACTGTCCTCTTCATTTATTTTTGTTTTTGTTATCTGTGCTTTTGGTGTCATATCCCCCTCCCCCCCCAAATTATTGCCAGGTGCAATGTCATGTAGTTTTCCCCTGTGTTTTCTTCTAGGATTTATGGTTTTCAGGTCTTACATTTAAAACTTTAATCCATTTTCAGTTAAATTTTATGTGTAGTGTGAAATATGCATCCTTCTTTTTTTGCATGTGGATATCTAGTTTTCTCAAAATCATTTATTGAAGAAATTATCTTTCCACATTGTATATTCTTGGCAACTTTGTCAAAGATTTGTTGAATACATATGCATGGGTTTATTTCTGGGCTTTTTATTCTGTTTCAATGGTCTAAATATCTGTTTTTAAATTAGTACCATAGTGTTTTGATTTTATAACTTTGTAATATAATTTGAAATCAATAAGTGTGATGCCTCCAACTTTGTTCTTCTTGCTCAAGATTGCTTGAGCTATCTGGGCTCTTTTTTCTTTTAATTCCAGCAGAGTTAACATAATAGTGTTATATTACTTTCAGGTGTACAGTATAGTGATTCAATAATTAAAAATCTGAAACACTTCACAAATATGTGTGTAATCCTTGCACAGGGGCCACACTAATCTTCTCTGTATCATTCCAATTTTATTCTTTGTGCTGCTGAAGTGAGTACTATCTGAGCTCCTTTGTGGTTTACATATGAATTGTTGTTGGTTTTTATATTTCTATGTAAAATGCTATTGAAATTTCAAAAGGAATTATATTCAATTTGTGCACTGCTTTGGGTAGTATGGAGAGTTTAACAATTTTAATATTTCCAATTCATGAACAGTGGATATCTTTGCATTTATTTGTATCTTCAGATTTTTGTACAACTGATTTTTGTATGTTGATTTTGTATTGAGCATCTCTATTTAATGCTTTATTATTTTTAACAGATTTTAGTGGATCTAGGTAAGATCATGTCATCTACAAACAGAGACAATTTTACTTCTTTCTTTCTAACTTGGATGCCTATCATTCATTTCGTTCTCTTGCTGAATTTCTCTGGTGGGACTTCCACTATTATATTGAACAGAAGTAAGCATCCTTGTCATGTTCCTGATCATAAAGGAAAAACTTTCAGCCCTTCACCATTAAGTATGATGTTAGGTGTCTAAACTTGTCATATATGGCCTTTATTATGTTGAGGTACATTCCCTCTCTACCTAAATATTGAGAGATTTTATGAGGAAGGGATACTAAATTTTGTCAAATGCTTTTCTACATATACTGATATGATCATATAATTTTTATCCTTTATTTTGTTAATGTGGTGTATCACATTCATGAATTTGTGTGTGTTGAATGATTCTTGAATCTGAATGACAAATCCCACTTGATCATGGTATATGATTATTTTAACATGCTAGTGAATTAGATTTGCTAGTGTTTTGTTGAGGAATTTTTGCATGCATATTCATCTGGGATATTAAGCTGTAATTTTCTTTTCTTTTAATGTCCTTAACTGGTTTTGGTATAAGGGTAATGCTGGCCTCAAAAAATAGTTTGGGAGTCTTCCCTCTTCTGTTCAGGAAGGACTGGTATTAATTCTTTGAATATTCAATAGAATTCACCTGTGAAACTATCTGGTCCTGGACTTTTGTTTATTGTGGGGTATTAATTCTTTGACTATTCAATAGAATTCACCTGTGAAACTATCTGGTCCTGGACTTGTTTATTATAATTACTGATTCCATTTCCTTTCTCATTATCGGTCTGTTCTGATGTTCTGTTTCTTCAATATTCAGGCTTGATAGGCTGTATATTCTTAGGAATTTATTTAATTTGTTGGTATATAATTGTTTGTAATAACATCTCATGATGCTTTGTTTTTCTGTGGTATCAGTTGTAATGTTTCTTCTTTTATTGCTGACTTTATTTGTATCTCCCAGCTTTGTTTTTTTCATAATTAACCTACCTATAGATTTGTCTATTTTGTTTATATTTTTTTAAAAAACACTCTTAGTTTCATTGATCTATTCTATTGCTTTTCTATTCTCTATTTCATTTATCTCTCCTCTGATCTGTTGTATTTTCTTCCTTTTGCCAACTGGTTTTTTGAAGTATAAACTTAGGATTTTATTTGAGATCTTTCTTTTTATTAATATAACATTTATTGCATTAACTGCCTTCTTAGATTTACTTTTGTTGCATCCCATTAGTTTTGGTATGGTATATTTCCATTTTGTTGCTTTCAAGATATTTCCCTTTTGATTTCTTCTTTCACCCTTTGGTTGTTCAGGAATATATTGTTTTATTTCCATATTTTGTGATTCGATTTTTAGTTTTATTCCTGTTATTACTTTCTGTTTTCATACTATTGTGATCAGAACAGCTGTGTGATATGATTTCTGTATTGTGATCTAACATATGATTTATATTGTGATCTAACATATGACTTTTCTTAGAGAATATTCCATTGTGCTTGAGAAGAATATATTGTGTTGCTATTGGACGGCATGTTCTATGAATGTCAGTTAGCTCCATTTGGTCTGAAACATATTTCAAGTACACTGTTTCCTTATTGATTTTTGGTCTGGATGATCTATTCATTGTTTAAAGTCCTTTATTATTATTGAATTTCTGTCTATTTTTCCCTTAGGAGCTGTTGACATTTGCTTTATATATTTAGATGCTTCAATATTGGGTGCATATGTATTCATAATTATTTTATTCTCTTGATGAATTAATACTTTTATCATTTTATAATGATCACCTTTTTTTCTTATTACAAGTTTGACATGAAGTCTATTTTGTCTGATAGAAGTATAGCTACCCCTGCTTGTCTTTGCTTTCCATTTGCATGGAATATCTTTTTCCATTTCTTCACTTTCAGCCTATGTGTGAGTCTATTAATTGGCAGCATATACTTGTGTCTTGCTTATTTTTTTTAAGTAAGACAATTTTTTAGAAAAGTTTTAGTTTACAACAAGGTTGAGAGAAAAGTACAGAAATTTCCTATACATCCTCTCCTCCCACAGATGCATATCCTCCCACATTATCAACATAATTCATCAGACAGGTACACTTTTCTACAAAGAATGAACCTACATTGACACATCATAAATCACCTAAAGTTTATAGTTTACCTTAGGATTCACTTGTGGTGGTGTACATTCTATGGGTTTGGACAAATGTTTAATGATGTATATTCATCTTTATATCATACAGAGAATCTTCCCTGACCTAAACATCCTGTGTTCTGCCGATTTGTCTTTTTACCACTTCTCACCCTTGACAATTGCCAATCTTTTAATTTTTTTGTATTGTTTTGCCTTTTTCTAGAATGTCATATATTTGAAATAGTACAGTATGTAACTTTTCAGGACCTTCCTTCACTTTGTAATATGCATTTCAGGTTCCTCCTTGTCTTTTCAAGGCTTGATAGATCATTTTCTAGCAGTGAATGATATTCCATTATCTGGATGTAGTATAGTTTATTTATTATTTACCTACTGGAGGACATCTTAGTAACTTCTAAGTTTGGCAGTTATGAATAAAAGCTACCATAAACATCTGTGTACAGTTTTTGTGTGGACATAAGTTTTCACTTCCTTAAGTTAAATATAGTAAGAAGCATGACTGCTGAATCATATAAGAGTATGTTTAGTTTTGTAAGAAACTGCCTAACTATCTTCTAAAATGGCCATGCCATTTTGTATCCCCATCAACAATGTATGAGAAATCCTGTTCCACATTCTCACCAGAGTTTAGTGGTAGATTTTGGCCATTCTAATAGATGTATTTTGGTATTTCATTGCTGTTTTAATTTGCATTTCCTTGGTGACATCTGATTTGAAGCATATTTTCATATATATGTCTGTATATCCTCTTTGGTGATATGCTTATTAAGGTCTTTAGCCTATTTTTTAATCAATTTTTCATTTTCTTATTGTTGGGTTCTAGGAGTTCTTCTGTATTTTGAACAAAAGTCCTCTATCAGATTTGTCCTTTGCAGATATTTTCTCCCAGTCTGTAGATTTTCTTCTAGTTCTCTTGATATTGTCTTTCATAGAACAGAAGTTTTCATTTTAATCAAGTTAAGTTCATCAATTAACTTTTTAATAAATCATGTCTTTGGTGTTGTACTTAAAAAGGAACCACTATATTCAAGTTCATCTAGGTTTGTTCCTAGGTTATCTTGGGTCATAAATACATTTTGAATTAATTCTGTGAAGAGTGTAAGTTTGTGTCTAGATTCATTTTCATTTGCATGTAGATGTCCCTTTGTTCCAGAACCATTTGTTGAAAAGACACCTTTGCTCCATAGTATTGCTTTTGCCCCTTTGTCAAATATCAATTGACTTTATTTATGTCTGTCTATTTCTGGTCTCCCTTTTCTGTTCTGTTGATCTATTTATCTGTTCTTTTGTTAATACCACTATCTTGATTACTGTAGTTTTATAGAAACGTTCAAAGTCTTTAGTAGCATCAATTTTCTAACTTTGTTATTCTTCAATATCGTGTTTGCTATTTATAGTACCCTCTGTATATAAACATCAAACTCAGTCTGTAAATATCCATAAAATAACTTTCTGGAATTTTGATGGAGATTGCATTGAATCTATAGAACAAGTAGGGAAGAACTGATATCTTGACATATGAAGTCTTCTTATGTGAACCTGAAGTATCTCTCCATTTACTTAGTTCTTTGATTTTGTCCATCAAAATTGTGTAGTTTTCCTCATATAGATCTTGTATATATTTTGCTCGATTTATACTTAAGTATTTTATGCTAATGTAAATGATTTTGTGTTTTTTAATTTCAAATTTTACTTGTTCATTTTTGGTATATAGGAAAACAACTGGCTTTTGTACATTAACCTTGTACCTTACAGCCTTGAATAATTGCTTATTAATTCTAGGAGTTTTTTGTTGATTCTTTCAGAATTAACACTTGGATGATTATGTCATCTGTAAACATAGCTTTATAGCTTCCTTCCCAATCTGTACACTTTTATTCCTTTTCTTACCTTATTTCATTATCAAGGAGTTCCAGTGCAGTGTTGAAAGGCATAATGAGAGAGGACATTGTTGCCTTGTAACTAATCTTAGTGGGAAAGCTTTGATTTTCTCATCATTCATATCATGTTAGCTGTAGATATTCTGTGAATAGTCTTTATCAAGTTGAGAAAGTTTTCCTTTATTGCTAGTTTTCTAAGACTATTTGTCATGAATGAGTACTGGATTTTGTCAAATCTTTTTTTATATCTATTGATATGAAGGGGTTTTTCTTTTTTATTCTGTTGATGTGATGGGTTATAGTAATTGGTTTTCAAATTTTGAGCCAGTTTTGCATATCTTGAATAAATCCTACTCGGTTGTGATGTATAATTATTTTTATGTGTTTTTTAATTTTACTATTTTTTGTTGAGGATTTTCATATTAATCAGAAATGTTGGGCTATAGTTTTCTTTTCTGTAGTGTGTTTGGTTTTAGTATTAAGGTAATGTTGGACTGATAGAATAAGTTAAGATCTATTCCCTTTCCTCTATTGTTTGAAAGAAATTGTATAGAATTGATATAAATTCTTCCTTAAATTTTGATTGCATTCACCAGTAAACCCATCTGAATCTGAGACTTTCTGTTTGGGAAGTTTATTAATTTTTGACTCAAATTCTTCAATAGATA